AATAAGTATGTAATGAGGGTTTACGTTAAATATTTACCAAGATAATAAGTATGTAATGAGGGTTTACGTTAAACATTTACCAAGATAATAAGTATGTAATGAGGGTTTACGTTAAACATTTACCAAGATAATAAGTATGTAATGAAGTTTTACATTAAATATTTACCAAGATAATAAGTATGTAATGAGGGTTTACATTAAACATTTACCAAGATAATAAGTATGTAATGAAGTTTTACATTAAATATTTACCAAGATAATAAGTATGTAATGAGGGTTTACATTAAACATTTACCAAGAAAATAAGTATGTAATGAGTGTTTACATTAAACATTTACCAAGATAATAAGTATGTAATGAAGTTTTACATTAAACATTTACCAACGTAATAAGTATGTAATGAGGGTTTACATTAAATATTTACCAAGATAATAAGTATGTAATGAAGTTTTACATTAAATATTTACCAAGATAATAAGTATGTAATTAAGTTTTACATTAAACATTTACCAACGTTATAAGTATGTAATGAGGGTTTACATTGTCTAGTATATTTATATCCCAAGGATGGCAACTTATTAAAAACCTTTCAAGGATGGCGTATCCATCTTTTTGACGATATTCGTGTTTTTGTTTGTTATAATCTTAATAAACTTCTATTTTGACTGGTCATATACTTAAGTTCACGGTATTTCACTGGTCATTTACTTAAGTCCACTGAATTTGACTGGTCATTTATTTAAGTCCACGGAATTTGACTGGTTATATACTTAAGTCCACAGTATTTGATTGGTCATTTACTTAAGTCCACGGAATTTGACTGGTCATTTATTTAAGTCCACGGAATTTGACTGGTTATATACTTAAGTCCACAGTATTTGATTGGTCATTTACTTAAGTCCACGTATTTGACTGGTCATATACTTAAGTCCACGGTATTTGACTGGTCATATACTTAAGTCCACAGTATTTGTGTTTTTTTTTTCTGAAGTGTCTGCTGTAACACTTATTTAATGTATTTACGTATTTTTAAAAATATTATCAAAATATTAATTTCTTGTTTTACTGTATTGCTGTGAGAAATTTCTTAAATATCTGTTAATAAAAACTAAATTATGTGTTATAGAACTATGTCAATATTTTTCACGACGATTTGCTTGTGAAACTATCATTGTAGGCGTAGTTTTGTGTTCAAGGCTACAATCTCGGTTCCATAAGGACATCTTCATAATTATCACGAGTAATCTCTGACAAGTGTGTGTGAGTGGGATTTTCCAGTTCATAAAGGACCAGGAACACTGCATGACTCAACAATATATTTTAATACTTACTACAATTTACAAGTAGTTAATGGTAAGTCTCCCAGTAATAACATTAAGAATGAAACCTCTTGTGTGGTGAGAAAGGGATCAAAGATGTTAATGTTTGGACAAAAATAACAAAGCTTAAGAATATCTAGTTTTCTTTTAGCGCGAATAAAGAAGTCAAAATTCTGTTCAGAAAAGAAATACTCGAAGAAAAATCTTGATATATTCTTTCTTTCATACAAAGAAACTTGGTTTAACTTTCTGAACAATCAGATTTCTGATGTTCACCTATTTTTTTTTTCCCACCATCACAACCACCTCAGAACAAAAAAAAAAAAAAGATGGGACGTAACCATGACTACCACACACACTACCAATACGAAACTGGCCTCTGGACTGCAGTTAACTATGAACCAATGCCCAATAAGAAATAAAAAATACTCCATGTATCAATGCAAGACCCAAACGTACTCGTAAAAGACAATGAAAAGAACAACATCAGTTTTATACACATAGAGTATATGCCTTTTTGGTGTGCTTGTGGCTGTTTCAAGTGTATATCTTCCTGGTCTTATTTCTTTTGATTTCGTCGTGCTTTTTTTTACGAGATAAAAGAAACAAGTGGTAATCATCCAAAATACTGAACATTTAATGGAATGAGAAGGAAAATGTCGAAAGTTATCACGTCTCAGCCACAGGCAGTTTTTTGTTTTCAAAACTGTTAGAAAGAACTCAAAGTTATTAATTTTTTGTTGTAACATAAAATGCGAAAATAAACAAATTTTTTAAGGCTGTTAATCAACGAAAAACTAAACTAATTGAGCAATGAGCAAATTTCACCGGGCGTTCTTCCTTTCAGTGACACCCAGAACAGTAAGTTTTGAAGTGAAAAAAAAACTTCCCGATATGAAGTATGAACTTTGCCCTCTTTTACTGACCACACTATAAAACCCAAGGTCGTTCCAAGTACAGATTACTTAAAAACATAAATAAAATCTAAATTTTGTGTTATAGAACAATGTCAATATTTTTTTCACGACGATTTGCTTGTGAAACTATCATTGTAGGCGTAGTTTTGTGTTCAAAGCTACAATTTAAATTCCATAAGGATATATATATATATATAGCAAAACAAAGTTGATTTTGATATTATCATTATTTGTAAAATAACCAACATAAATAGGTGCAACGCTCTAAAAGTCAAAAGGTCATATTGTTTGGCCGACTAGCTGAAATGTTTCCCACACTTAGCTCCTTTTCCAATGGGTAACCCCTCCCCCCTTCTTAGAAACCGAAGTGAAAAAGATATAATGCATATGGCACTTCTGTCCACATCTTTTAATTGACCTTTAACCCTCTTCCAACTGGCGGTTACCCATAGGCAAGTATATATATGCCTGGCGATTTTTAATCTCTGCACTAATTAGTCAGAGGGTTCACGTGGACTTACTTCCCGATTGATTCTGATATAAAGAGTTTACCGCCATCAGTCCAAAAATCTGTACATTATTCTAGTACAATCATAGCTTGTATGTGTACATGCAACAAGTGTTATTCTAATCTAAGGTACTTACAAAACATGTACACTACAGGGTAATGAACACAAAATAACACAGTTATTCAATGCCCTAGTAAAAATCGTACCAGAATGTGGTTTGGGTACACTTTTTCCTCTAAAGGTTTAACATTTCCTCGAGAAGGAAACTAAGTCAAAGCATGAACTTTTACAATATCAATACACGCAGCCACTTCGTTTGTGAACTTATGTCAAACACTTTAAATGTAAGGAGCTCAAAGAGAAAGCAAACAAACGACATATTTGTCATCTGACAAAAAAAAGTCGTTACGTTTGCGGTAGCTGTTGCTGAATGAACATACAGAGATTGAATATTCATTAAAAATCTACATATAATAATGATATTAGCTACCCTCTGGCTTCAGTACAGAATTCGCATACAATATATAACCAAACGTCATAATATAACAACACAGCGTTAGCATTTAGCCACCGACAGCTTTGTCCAAGATTTCAAATACTGTTACCAAAACAGCACACCAGGTGTCTCCAATAAGACACAATCACAGACTAGAGAACGGGTAAATAATATTGAGCACGTAAAATAAACAATATTCTCCTAAATATATCTTCTGAATTTTAAAAGAACTGTTAGTCTTGTGGCTTGAATCTTTAATAACACGAACTTGTCAAACTTATGTTGATATAGAAAACACAATTAATTCTATTACGGAAAGATTCACCCATTTTCAATCAATTGATAAAACAAATATGATTAATTCCGTTACAGAAACATACACCCACTTAAAAAAAAAGGACGTTCTTTCATCTAATATCTTGGTGCTATTTAATCAATCGAAATGTCCTTTTTAGGGCTCATATTTGATGTTCGGCCACACACACACCCTTGACAGGAATAAAAACTGTATATGCGTCTAACATCTAAACAGAAACAAGATACATCGTGTGCGCTTCTTTGAGCACAAGGGATTCTCTCCTGAGTTATAATATAATTGTACTCAAGCTGCTCACAGTGTACTTTGAACTACGTCATGGTTTCTCATTGCACTTACAAGCAATTCTTGTATGACCCAAAACAAATTCAAAGCAGCCCCACTTTTAACCAGCAGGCCTCAGTTTTACTGTTTAATGTTCAAGACACAAGCGTGCCCCACTGTCCCCCTGGAAAGTGAGCAATTCTCATGTCGAGGTTTCCATGGCAGCAATGACAGAATCGGTTGAGAATGAGTTTTCTTTTATCATGGAAATCGAGCCTGAAGAGGTGCTAGTAGAGACTGCGGTAGCCATGGTGACGTCATGCAGGCCATTTGTAGTCAACGTGGATGCAAATGACTGTAGTTCGTCGCTTGAGCTGGTTGTGTTTACAGGAGGGTTACTGAGCAAGGAAGTCATACTCGTTGGATGAACCAGGGTGGGGGACTCGAGAAGACCTATGGGGCCATCTCTGTACCTAGATAAGGTAAACCAATATACATTTGTACAGTGTTTTAAGTGTTAAAACATTGTTTACATTAGTCTACAATTTCAATTCATTGTCACGAAAAAAAATACCATGGAGTCCGAAGTAGTTTTAAACAATATTTCTTTAAAACTTAATATTGTTAAATGACATAGAATCTAAAGTAGTTTTAAACAATATTCCTTTAAAACTTAATATTGTTAAATGACATAGAATCTAAAGTAGTTTTAAACAATATTAATTTTCTGTTTCTTTTCTTCTTTGAAACTTAATATTGTTAAATGTCATGGAATGTGAATTAGTTTTAAATATTGTCTATTTTTGATACAGTGATTCGGATATATATTTACTTGTTCACAAGAAAGGTCATATTTAATGTGATTTTTTCGAACATCCTAAGCTCCAGGTTTGCAATAAGAGACAGTGGTGATAGGTAACAGCAGTTATCAGCAACATGGTTTCAGTCCTAGTGAAAGTTATAGAGGTGACTCGGGCAACATACACAGTTGGCTTAATTAGGCTCAGATGGACACAGAAACAAGATGGCCGAAAAAATCGATACTGGACGAAGGCAGATTATCCGTTAAAAATAAACTATGACCTCAAGACTTGGAATATGTGGGCGGTCTTGCACAGCATTAAACTCATGTCTAACAACACTGTTAGAGTAGATTTAGATATAGAACATTTCCAGGCCTACAGAGTGACGTGCAGCAGTAACTCTAGATGACACTAGTGATGTCGCAAGTGTACTCCACAGCTGATTTATAGTTATGAGAGTATTTAACAGAAACGTTAGATTTGACATCACCAATGCAAGTGCTCTAGAGAACTGATCTAGATATAGAACGTTTACAGGCCTACAGAGTGATGTACAGCAGTAACTCTAGATGTAACTAGTGATGTCGCAAGTGTACTCCACAGCTGATTTATAGTTATGAGAGTATTTAACAGAAACGTTAGATTTGACATCACCAATGCAAGTGCTCTAAAGAACTGATTTAGGTACAGAACATTTCCAGGCCTACAGAGTGATGTGCAGCAGTAACTCTAGATGTAACTAGTGATGCGCAAGTGTACTCCACAGCTGATTTTGATGTACACCAATTTTATGGTTATGATAGTATTTAGCAGAAACGTTAGATTTGCTGGAGCTACTACTGTGCACAACTTCCAGTTTTGCTTGGCCTGGAACTGTTCTATATCTAGATCAGTTCTCTAGAGCACTTGCATTGGTGATGTTACTAATACACGTGTACTAGAGAATTTATTTATAAAGAACAACGTTTCCACACCTAGTTAAACTGGTATAAGTATGGAGTAGTAGAATTAAGCCTAACAGAAATGGCGGGGGTTGTGCCTTGCTTAGCTCCATAGGCCTGGCATGGCTTGGTGGTTAGTGTGCTCAGCTAAGATTCTCTTCCTTTCAGTCGTGGGGGCGTTACAATGTGACAGTTAATCCCACTTTTCGTTGGTAAAGAGTAGTCCCAGAGTTGGCAGTGGGTGGTGTTGATTAGTTGTCTTCCCTCTAGACTATCACTGCTAAATTAGGGACGGCTAGCTCAGATAGCCATCGCGTAGCTTTGCGCGAAATTCAAACCAAACTTAGCTGAACTAACTAAAATGTACAAAGTCAATTTAGGTTTTTTTAATACGAGACGCGAACACTGACCCTCAAAGCTGGCAGCACTAACAGAGATGCGCCGTAAGGTATATGAACTGTTTGTGTAGCAGACAATATTTGGGGTATGTCACAGCAACTTCAAATTTGGTAGATTTAATACTTCCTATGAACTTCCGATCGAAACAAGACACGTAATAAGAGCAAAGTTAAAAATCCACCTAGCCATCAGAATAGCTAATTAAACATACTTTTATTATGTATCTACGTATAAATATTATAATGCATTGTTTCATCTGTTGGGCACCCACACTTTTAACAATATTTTCGGCCATAATTCCAATAACATCTCACGAGGTTCAGCCAGTGTAGGAGATTTAGGATAGTCCTAAATACATGTTTTAAGCTAACGATGCAAAACAGTCTTTATAATAAAAGAACAATACTAAACAATATTTATAATAAAAGAACAATACTAAACAATATTTATAATAAAAGAACAATACTAAACAATATTTATAATAAAAGAACAATACTAAACAATATTTATAATAAAACAACAATACTAAACAATATTTATAATAAAACAACAATACTAAACAATCCTTATAATAAAACAACAATACTAAACAATCCTTATAATAAAAGAACAATACTAAACAATCCTTATAATAAAAGAGCAATACTAAACAATACTTATAATAAAAGAACAATACTAAACAATCTTTATAATAAAACAACAATACTAAACAATCTTTATAATAAAACAACAATACTAAACAATCTTTATAATAAAACAACAATACTAAACAATCCTTATAATAAAACAACAATACTAAACAATCTTTATAATAAAACAACAATACTAAACAATCCTTATAATAAAACAACAAATCAAAATATAAAGTAATGACATTCGATGAACTAAAGAGTAGAACTGATAAGTGTGTGTAGAGTAGCAGCCTGGGTGGGGCCTACAGTATCGGATCAAGACGCACGAGCCAGGTAGCCTTGTTAAGTTTGCACTTTAAAAATTGTCGTCATGTTAAAGTTAAGTAGATGTAAAAACACTCATTAAAATACCCTTATAGAAATGCTAATTGCTAAAGTTCTGTTTACCAGGACTGACTTCTTCATTAAGATGAACAAAATAGTTAGGCTTAGTAGAACTTAGTATAACAATGTACAATGGTGGTCCTAGTCCTCCTAAGAAACTGAAAAGAACAACAACAAATTTTCACCTACTCACCACAAATTTCTCATTTCGTGGCGACGTTGTCTCATTATTTGTTTGTACTCGGAAATTCGGAGTTTTTTACCATCCACAATACAAGTCCGTTTAGGGCGTGGCCTGTAGCGGTAGTTTGGGTGCTTCTCCATGTGAAGTTTACTTAATCGAGATTGTTCCTCATAATATGGCTGTTTCTCTGTATTAGACATAGCTTTCCATCTCGCTCCTGTTCAACAGAAAATGTCTGGTAATCAACTTCGTACACTTTTTGAACTGATGCTGTTGAATAGGCATTACTGAAATATTTCTATGTTGGAGTAAAAAAAAACAAAACCAAAACTTACCAAGTATTTTGGAGATGTTAGAATTGTGCATGTCTGGGCAAGCCTTGAGAATTTTTTTCCTTTCATCTTTAGCCCACACCATAAATGCGTTCATGGGGCGCTTGATGTGAGGCTTTCCTTCAGAGTCCTTTTTAGTCTGACGAATAATTTTTGCCCCCAATAATTTACCTATAGAAAGAATGAATTTTGTCAGTATCAGTACGTGTTGTTGTTTGTGGCCACTGGGGGGCGCCAGTATCAGTACAATTTGTGAAATAAATAGAAATAACATATTGGACCTTACGATTGTATTAAAAAAAGTAGGTTAATAGCTCTTTTTTAATAATGTTTCTTTTGTTTTTACCAGTTTAAATATATTAAGAAAATTAAATAACTGAACGAATGTTTTATAACATACTAAACACACTATAACTAAGAACCAGACGTAGTAAAATCAATAATACCTCAGTGAACGTGAGTTTTATTACATACTAAACACACGAAACTAAGAACCAGATGTGGTAAAACCATTAATACGTCAGTGAACCTATTTTCCCTGCTAAAACTATTCAATATTACTAACGTGTGTGATATTTAGTTTCTGTTTCTCTCTCTGCCGAATACTTTTTGATCTCTTCATGTTAGTTCCAAGTTCCTGACCAACATGTATATTTGGACGCTTTGTATTTTCCACTTCGAAACATAATGATTTCAAAACTATAAATAACAAATCGTGTTTATAAATCAGTAACTTGCTAGCTTAAAGTTTTCCCAGAATTTTGACAATCAGTTTAAAAAAATGTCTCTATACCACGCGAGGCTTAGATTTAATTAACGAAAGGTCTATTATCGTGACCTCGGGATCGTTCACTTACATATTTTTATTAAAGTTTGGAAAATTAATACAGGGCATTGCAATTAGCTATCTATTTATTTCATTAAGTTTTATGACACATTCCAAATATTTGCCTTACATTTAGTTAAGATAAAGATCAGATCCATCCTTGATGTCAAGCAAGTTAAGATAAAGATCAGATCTTTCCTTGATGTCAAGCAAGTTAAGATAAAGATCAGATCTTATCCTTGATGTCAAGCAAGTTAAGATAAAGATCAGATCTATCCTTGATGTCAAGCAAGCAGTCTTACAAAGCAGATTGATATAACATTGTCAAAGTGAAAGTTGTACCCAAGCGACAGAATAAATCTTCTAATAAAATCTAATTAAGTGAAACCCGAATCCAAACAATCTTTTTTCCAATTATATGCAGAGATGTGTTGAATCCAAGTTTTGGTCAGTCCTTTACTTTGATTCTTGATTTTCATTTTAAGATCGTCGAATCGAACGTTTAATTTTGGGCTTACACATCTTTTAAACACAGAGCTAGTTAACACTAGAGAATAATCTATATTAATATATTGTGAAGGTAATTTCTATTACTGTGTTTAATCACGGTTGTTTTAGAAAACATACAAGGTGTATTCCTGGTTGTGAGGTTCAACATGGTTTTAATTTCAGTTTCAAAGAAACGTTATTAGGCTAAAGCTCAGACATACAAGGTGTATTCCTGGTTGTAAGGTTCAACATGGTTTTAATTTCAGTTTCAAAGAAACGTTATTAGGCTAAAGCTCAGACATACAAGGTGTATTCCTGGTTGTAAGGTTCAACATCGTTTTAATTTCAGTTTCACAGAAACGTTATTAGGCTAAAGCTCAGACATACAAGGTGTATTCCTGGTTGTAAGGTTCAACATGGTTTTGAGTTTCAAAGAAACGTTATTAGGCTAAAGCTCAGACATACAATGGTTCAGTTTAGAGTTTTATTTGTAAGGAAGGGGGTAATATCGATGGGGGTGATTGACTTAGTTCAAGGATAGTATATAAATCATTGGTCGTAAATAGAAATTTGGCAGGTTTGTAACTATACGTACCTAAAGCAGAAGAAATGGGTCTGAGGGAAGAACTGAATCTTAGGAAGACCGTACGAAATATCAGGATGTCAGAATTCTCATTATTAAAAGAACTTTCACCAAATAAGACATGTTACACGAACCGACAAAGACAGTACCATCATTTATTCTCGACAAAAATGACCATTTGAGTGAAACGACGATTCTACTAAATTTAAAATATTAGACAGTGAACCTTTATCTGTTACAACCCACGCGAGGAAGACCCCCCAACGACACTACAGTCACTCTCCACTAGTTAATATACTGACCCCCGATCTAAGTCAACCACCTCTTATTAAAAATCACTTCATGGCTAGCTTCTTTCATCTGTACAAACATACTTCTAAATGAAACCACTGTATATATGAGCCTCTCCAAGTGGATTTTCTGACCCTCAAATTTAGACCATGTAAGGTGTAGTTTTGACAGGTAAATTGTTCCCATACACTCGTTTCCAAAATAAGACTATTGTGGGTCCAACATCTCTTCATATTATGACAAGTAATAAGTGTCTCGCCTTTCTTGTCCTCCTCGTTAGTGTCCTTTCTGGATCCGCCAGATGTCAGGATGCCAGTGTTTTGAGATGACAGGTACATACGTAGAGGAAAGTGTTTGTCATTAGCCCCAAGGGCTAGGCTTGTAGGGGAGGGCTGACCTAGGCTGACTGTCAGTGAAGGGGGTATTCCATCCTTCCTCATCAGGTTACCTGTTTGATCAATATTACATCTAGTTTGGTTGAAATTCAGAAAATTTCCTATAAAAAAAACGTCATATAAACACCTGGAAATTTGAGAACTGCGATAAATTTTTATTTACTATTTATTTAATAAATACACACACACACACACACATGTATATATATATAGTTCCCTGCCATATGAATAAGAGTATCTCCAAAACCAGTGCTTTTGTCCAAAGTATCCACAATACTTTCACGCCCATCTCTACTGAGCATGAACCCATTGGAACACGGAAAAGGTTAAGCTATCTGATGGGTCAGTTTTTTGCTCATTTTGCATTGCAGATTGATATCATCAATGTCAATTCTGTGGTAAGATTGCACATTTTATTATGCTAGAACACGATACATACATTATTATGTATCATTATTATTATACAGTTATTAACTCAGGACTAGCTGCACAAGCCGTACCTAATTTCCAACTGATAAAGCTGCACAAGCTGTCCCTAATTTCCAACTGATAAAGCTGCACAAGCCGTCCCTAATTTCCAACTGATAAAGCTGCACAAGCCGTACCTAATTTCCAACTGATAAAGCTGCACAAGCTGTCCCTAATTTCCAACTGATAAAGCTGCACAAGCCGTACCTAATTTCCAACTGATAGAATAAAGAAAACACAACCAGTCAACAGTACTCACTAACAAGTTTAGGATACTATAATGAAATTGTGGGATTTAATTTTCACCAAAGGCTCCAAAATGCAGGATGCGATTTTCGGTAACGGAAAACGAAACATGGACATTTATGTGCATAGTCCGGAACGCTGACCACTAGGTACGTCCAGTCCAGTTAGAAGTAAAACCAAAAATATGGAAAGGAGAAAAATTAAACAAAATTAAAAAATAAAGATAACAAAAAAAAATTCTTCTTAACAGGTATACCTCGGTGGGTCAGCGGTAAATTTACGTACTTACAACGGCAAAATCCGGGGTTCGATACTACACGGAGGACAGTGCAGATAGCCTATTGCGTAGTTCTTCGTTAAAACAAACAAAACAAAAACACAAAAAACGTATCTTACCAGGATGACCAACGACGCCACCTAGCGGCATGTGTGCTGCACTTCTCATGTTTGGAGGCAGCATGTTATACGGATTTGTTCCGTGTAGAAAGGAAGAGGATGCAGCCTATGAATAATGAACAAAAAGAAATGTAAAAAAATACTGTTAGATCTTGATGGGTGTTAAATCTATTATACCTTGAAGGTATATAACTTCAGTAGCAAAAATAATCAAATTAGTTACCATTGGTTACGCAGATGATGCATGTTTTATCAACATTAAACTCTTGAAATAAAATACAGCATTTCAAAGAATATTTAATATGATTTTTTAGGCAAATCTAACGATAGCATTGCGTTAAAATATTTTTGTTTTTTACCAAAACATTCTTATCAAAACAAGAGCAAATCATCAATGGCCGTGTCACTTGGAATTCTTTTAGGCAGGATTAGAGTAAATTATTCTTCGAGACTTTTTTTCTCAAATTTAAATTATTCTAGGCAGGATTACAGTAAATTATTCTACGAGACCTTGGGCGTGGGCAATATATCAATCGAAAGGGTTTGACCTCCTGAGTCCAAAACTGTAATTGGATCTCAAATCGGTCAAGAGATGATGGAGCTATGACTAAAACTTCGTACTTGAAAAAAAACCCCAAAAACTCAGCCATTATGCCGCGGCTAAAAAACCATTTTACCTTTTTTTAGGGTTTAAAACAATCGCTTGTTTTGGTTTCTGAAATGTTTATTCGTACAGAACATAAACAACAGCTGTTTTATACTTCCTCTTCCTACCAAACGGTTTAATAATTTAACACACACATTATAAACAAGATTGTTCCGGTTTCATGTTTCGTGCTCTTACCGACAGGGGCTCAGGAATTCCAGCTCCCAGCAGACTTGCAACACTAGATATGCTGGTGTTTGTTGGCAAAGGAGGATTAAATGATGCAGATGATACGAAGCTGTTGGTGAGGTTTGGAGATCGCCCCGTTTCCTTCACTTCTTGCTTAATGTTAGCTTGTGGTGAGGGACTACAACTAGCACTAGAAGATAAACGTTCAAATATTAAACTTTCTTTGTAACAGCTGCATTTGGGTTGAAAGAAAAAGAGTTTATCTGAGGAGAGTAGACGAAGAATGACAAAATAATTGTAGCCGTCCGTTAAACGTTAATATATATTGTGTAATGAAATATCTTTACATATATAAATATAAAACGAATTTTTCCAACAATCTATACTAAAGACATTTTATATAAAAAACAAACAAACGAGGTTTCAAAAGATCGTGTTGAAAATGCGGAATATTCTTTTTCTTTGTAATGGAATATGTGATAATATACACTGAATAGGAACCACTAACAAAGTTTCATATTGTAATTCAAATAGAAGCGTATAAATATTATGATATTTAGAGAAGTAGATAGCGAAATTTGCCATAAGAAAATAATTGCCTACCTGCTAGTGTTACTGTCACAGGACTTAGGTTTACTAAGATTCAATGGACCGTCGTTATCTGGGGCTGGGTCTGAGGCTCCAGGTGTTGGATGAGTGGAGCTGCTATTAGGAGAACTATACATTGGAGTAATAGGTGGAGCTCCTGACACCCAGGGTTGAAGGGAGGACAGAAATGACTAAGAGATAATAAAATATATTGATTAAAATGATTATGAATAATACTGAACATAGTTATATTCTAATAATAAATCTTAATTTTTAAAAATATTTGTCTTTAACTTTCCAATTGTAATAATAATAATAACAGCACGGAAATATAACATATAAATATAAGTATAACATGAAACAATGTGCAACAATAACAGGATACGAATACACTGTGTTTAGTTTATCAACTGCAACAAGAACACGAATATGCTATGCTTTATTCAATAATACAACAATAACACGATACTAATACACTGCACTTAGTTTATCAACTGCAACAATAACAGGATACGAATACACCGTGTTTAGTTTATCAACTGCAACAATAACAGGATACGAATACACTGTGTTTAGTTTATCAACTGCAACAATAACACGAATACACTGTGTTTAGTTTATCAACTGCAACAATAACACGAATACACTGTGTTTAGTTTATCAACTGCAACAATAACACGAATACACTGTGTTTAGTTTATCAACTGCAACAATAACACGAATACACCGTGCTTAGTTTATCAACTGCAACAATAACACGAATACACTGTGTTTAGTTTATCAACTGCAACAATAACACGAATATGAATACACTATGTTTAATTTATCAACTGCAACAATAACAGGATACGAATACACTGTGTTTAATTTATCGACTGCAACAATAACAGGATACGAATACACTGTGTTTAGTTTATCAACTGCAACAATAACACGAATACACTATGCTTTATTCATTAATGCAACAATAAAAGAATACACCATAATAATATATAACAGACATTAGGTGACTTTTTCCTCTTCACAATTATAATCATGAAGTAGTCCATGTTCTAATTTCGATACTACACACCAGAAACTTTAAAAGTCAAATAATGTTTTACTGCCATAGAAAGGTCATGCATATACGTATTTTCAGAATTTGGATTGAAAAGAGGATGAATGAATGCATAATATACTGAAAGGCATATTACACAGAATACATTCTTCAATTCATGTGAAGTCCTTTTTGCTTCTCCGAAAGAAAAATATCAACTTAGCTATTGTTAGCATCCACACAGCCTGCATAAGAAAGCAGCCACTTTGTATAATCTCTCTCAGAAATGAGTAAGGCCCACGCTTGAAGCCTAGTAGGAGATAATGGGTTCCAGACTATTATCATACACAGACTTCAGTGTTGTACGAAGCCGTTGTGTGTGTGGACAACTGTGTTGCTACGTTTCTCTTTTCAATGATTATGTTCTTGCCCTAGATATTTACTGAAAAGGAGCCCGAAAATCAATTCACCGGGAAAGAATTATATATATAGAAGGTTCCCAAACGTCGAGCCCAAGAAATCAAAGGAGGTATGTTGGCTACATTACAAGAATAATTTGTCTTTGCTTCTATCCTCCATTGTTGAGGTGTACTTTATCTGCATGAATTTTACATGCCCTAATGCAAGTCAATTGAATAATGGACATTTATAACACAAACAGGACTACAGTGTTCTTAATATTTCATAAAATTGCTTTCGCTTTTGTCCCCCCCTTCTGTTTGGAGGAAGATCAAAGATTGAAGCGCCGCTTTCTATCCGAGTGCCTAGCTCTGATTTAATTTTACTCGGGTTTATGGCAGGATCATTGGATGCACTGCAATTATTTGAGTACTGTGCCTCGTCTCCATTTAGAGCATTAAGTGAGTGTCTTCCTTGGATTCCACAAGAGCACGCAGTCTGTCAGAGGTTACCGTGGAGCGTAGACGCGCGTGATAAGTGGGCTTAATGTTATTGGCTTAAACATAAGAATATTCCAGTTTTACCTCGTTTCGACGAATAATTTAATTAAAAAATAAACAAAATTATACTATGTATTTATCGAATTTAAAATGAGAAAATATTAATCTCATCTACGATTGCATTCATGTATTATGAGTACGTGATAAAAAACTACAACCAGATATATATATATTGTTATTACGTTTTCTAACTCTGTGTATTCCAATTCTGTAATAATATGTATATACATCAGTAAATGTTTAAAAAGTTCGGGAAGCAGCTAAAAAATCAAATAAAACAACGTTTCGCTGCTCTTAGTGTTTATTTGTTCAACTGGACTTTTACCTTTAACATTTATACATTTTTCCTCCTCATATTTGACTACACAGAATTTTTAAGTCACAAGATTTGTTCAAAGTTTATTATTTAACAAACCCCGAACTTGCTGACGATTAACGTTTGGAAATAACAAACCCCGAACTTGCTGACGATTAACGTTTTGAAAGTATTCCATTGCTAGATGTTTATAACACAGCCACATTCTTATACACAATTAATCTGATTATTTAATACAAGCCTATTGAAGGGTAACGATTTATTTTAAAATATGTTTTTAGTTGTGTTTTTTTCTTTCCTGAATCTGGATTAAACATCATTTTTGTTTGATTGTTTCGTTGTTAAGTGCAAACCTAAACAACGAACTATTTGCACCGTGTCAAACAGGGATCGAACTCCGATTTTTAGCGTTACGGTTGAGTTTAAACAAAACAAAAGGTAGATAACATGAGTATTGATGTTAATTGTTACCTAAGTAATTCAATAGGTTCTCCACTAAAAGTAATTCAGGTGTTTTATTAAAGTTTTATCAATTACGTCATACGACATTTTTTCTATCGGTGTTGAGCTCCCCCTACCAGGTGAGTCAGAGGTAAGTTTGCGGACTTACAACACTAAAGTCCAGGGTTCGATTCCTGCAGACAGCCTATTGTGTAAAGTTTGCCCTAAAACGAACAAACTATCTGTGCTGAGACAGGGTAGAATGATTAGATACTGAAGTTTCCACGCAGTCTAGGGAAGACATATTTCAAGTTGAAATACAAGAAACACGTTGCACTGTAACGTACCGAAGGTGGAGTATCTCCCAATGCTGTTGGTGCAATACTTGTTGTTATGTTTGGTGACAACTGCCGGGAGGTGGAGCTGAATGTCAGTGACGGCAGGGACATGGAAGAGATTCCTGTCGATGAAGTAACCAAATCCTCAATCCCAGGAACTGGAGCACCAGGATGGGGCAGTCCGGCCCCACTACCGAAACCTCCATCAAAAACCGGGAGGAACATCAGCCCCTGAGGTGTGACTCCCGTGGCAAGCCCAGGCATACCCGGTAAGGTTTTCGCTGTAGCGGCAGCAGCCATATACTGGCCATTAAGTCGAATCTGCAAAACGAAATATGTTCTAGAAACAGATAAACGAAGCTCAAGAAAAACGCAAAATAAAAGATACATATAATTAATTACAAAGGGCACTTCATGAAGTATTGTGGTTAAAAACACAAAAGAGTTTATTAGGATACCACAAGTTTCGTTAACCTGCCATTTTTCGGTTTAAAAAAACAGAAAGTACCATTATATTATAATTCAGTCAGAAGGAATAAAACAATAACAAGTAAACAATCAGAAACGACATTACAGAATGTTAGAAAACCATAGAAACAGAACAATAAGTAAACAATCAGAGACGACGTTACAGAATGTTAGAAAATCATAGAAACAAAACAATAACAAGTAAACAATCAGAAACAACATTGCAGAATGTTAGGAAACCATAGAAACAGAACAATAACAAGTAAACAATCAGAAACGACGTTACAGAATGTTAGAAAACCATGGAAACAAAACAATAACAAGTAAACAATCAGAGACGACGTTACAGAATGTTAGAAAACCATAGAAACAGAACAATAACAAGTAAACAATCAGAAACGACGTTACAGAATGTTAGGAAACCATAGAAACAGAACAATAGCAAGTAAACAATCAGAAACGACGTTACAGAATGTTAAGAAACCATGGAAACAGAACAATAACAAGTAAACAATCAGAAACGACATTACAGAATGTTAGCACACGACACTACTGTTTTCAAGAATTTTCATACAGTTTCAGGACAAAGTTATGAAACTTCGCGGGTTCTTCTAAACTAAAGAAGTTTAAGAACGAAATATTGATGTTTTTCTTAAATTCCACATCAAATGAAGGTACCACTCACAAAACAAGTATCCTGCACGTTTTCATTAACTATTTCACAACTAAAGAAAGAATCCTACTTTTGTTAGTGAGTGTTGACAAAACAATAATTTTATTAATAAGTTCTTTGTGATAGTTTCTCTGGCATAAGATCCATTTTTATATATATACGTGATATGCTTGTGTGTTCGTTCCTTTAATAAAAATAAACTACTACACGAAATATTTAGTTTGAATATTCTTACAAGGTTTACTGTTTCGATGGTTGCAGCTATAGTATCATAGCTTAAGTATTAAATGTCTCAACTGAACTTATAATCTGTTTATAGTCAATAAGCTTCTTAAGTTTCCTCTGACTATCACGAACTGTTATTTTTCGTTAAAATCAGTTTGAAAGGGTATGTGAGTTAGAGTTGACAAACATTTTTATATAATTATATCGGAACAGTAGTGTATTGTTTCACTAGCTCGTCCAGTGTCGGTGACTTGATGAAAAGTTTACTGGCTGTCTAAACACTCAGATATTATTACATGATACAGAACGGGTATAAAGAACGAGACATTTCCACAGTAATCACTGTTACGTGAGATAAATATCACTACGTTACCATAACGATCATTGTTAGTTTAAATAAATATAACCGTATTACCATAGCGATCACTGCTACATGACATAAACATGACTGCGTTACCACAGCAACCATTAATATGTAACATAAACATGACTGCGGTATCACAGCAAACATTATTACGTGACATAAATATGACTGCGTTACCATAGTAACCATTAATATGTAACATAAACATGACTGCGTTACCACAGCAACCATTATTACGTGACATAAACATGACTGCGTTATCACAGCAAACATTATTACGTGACATAAATATGACTGCGTTACCATAGTAACCATTAATATGTAACATAAATATGACTGCGTTACCACAGCAACAATTATTACATAACATAAACATGACTGCGTTACCACAGCAACCATTATTACGTGACATAAATATGACCATTGTTACGATCATTGTTCCTTTTTTCTTGTACATCAGTAATGTCGATTGTGCTCGTTCACACAACCATTGTTAATGGATACATCCATGTAAAACGTAGGCCTACCTCGAGATACATACTTTCAAGCTATAAGTAACAAGTACGTTTCACTTGTAATTCGTTTATTAACTACAATACATTAGAACAAAAATGTAATGATTTATTATAAGGCTCTTTTTATTTTCTTTGTTGTTGAGCACAAAGTTAAAAAATGGATTATCTGTGGTACGCCTACCGATGTATCTGAACCAAATTGATAGCGTTATAAGACCTCAGAATTACCAATGAACCACAAGGGAGCGGGAATAGGGAATCAGAACAGCACGAAATAAATAACTAGTTTGTATGTGTCTTGCAATTCGGGTTATATTCCATTCTTCTAATTTAATTACCAGTGACGGATCTTTTATATGGTTTTAGCACTAATCTAAATCTGATAAACCGGCCGAACATTATGAGATATTATTAGGATTACGGCCGAAAATATCGATAAAAACGGGGGAATCCAGCTGATAATCATCGCGTTCCGATCATTATAAATGTTGTTTACTCCCAGTTGGACAGGTACATGACTTTAATTTTGAGTTCTGATAGTGATATTATTTAGACAAATTCACATTAACAGTTTAATAACTTCAAATAAATTCGTTTAAGTGCAAAACAGTCCCGAAAATTTAACAGTTTTCTGACCTGTAATTCTTGAATTTTTTGTTGCTGTTCCGACAGCTGATCTTGTTGTCGTCTGATCTGTTCCTGCTGTTGTCGTCGTATTTCATCGCTGTATCTACTACCTTCAGCATGTAGCTAAATAAAACAACAACAAAATATAAACACGTTTATAACTGTTTTTTTTATCTCTAACTCCCAGTAAAAACTTACAAACCAGAAAGTCATTTTGTGAAAAACTAGTACTATAAAGCTTTGCACGGTACGTTCTAGAAACATCTCTAAATTGTCACAGGGTGCAACACCTAATTTGAAATCAACTTCGAATAATCCAAAAATGATTCGAAAACCTGAACACAAAAACAATTTTTTAAAGTGTCCAAACGATCAACTTCTGAAAACTAAATCATCTTAAGAACTCCCCAAAGAACGTTAGTCATACGAATCTAAAAATGACGTTAACGAATTTTCCAAAAATAATAATCTTTCTGAACAACCAGAGCAACAATAAAAATGATCTAAATGTGTGAGATGTGAATACATCTAGAGTAGTTCTGGAACTTTCCAAAGTTTGTCACCTAACTGAACCAAAAAATCATCTGTCTCAACTTACAACGACTCATGGACTAAACGAAGTATACCAGTTAACTGTCTATACAAAGTTCCAGAACTGATGTATAGACAGTTAACTGGTACACTTTATGTAGTTCTAGAACTGATATGGAGTATAACAGTTAACTGTCTATACATCAGTTCTGGAACTTCATAAAGTGTACCAGTTAACTGTCTATACATCAGTTCTAGAACTACATAAAGTGTACCAGTTAACTGTCTATACATCAGTTCTGGAACTACATAAAGTGTACCAGTTAACTGTCTATACATCAGTTCTAGAACTTCATAAAGTGTACCAGTTAACTGTCTATACATCAGTTCTAGAACTACATAAAGTGTACCAGTTAACTGTCTATACATCAGTTCTAGAACTACATAAAGTGTACCAGTTAACTGTCTATACATCAGTTCCAGAACTTTATGGAGTATAACAGTTAACTGTACATACATCAATGTGTCAGTTATGTACAACATAGTTTTTATGTTATATTTTGTCATAAATAGCTCGATTTGTCCAATACTTTATGTCAGCCTTATTTCAGAACACATTGTTTTATATCTCACTGAAGTCACTCAGGTTATATTTCATAACAGCTTATTCTAGGTGAGTGTTCCCTCTCTTCAATGATCGTAGATTACACAAGTTTTACGGCAATCTATGAGAAGTAACATTTTGTTCTATCATTTGTTTCCACGAATGTAACTAACAAAGATCCTTTCTCTTCCAAACGTCAGTCGTTCAGTTGAGAAAGTAAACAACTCTAAAGAAAGGCCGTTCTATCTATGACGTGAAGATAGAGAATCTCTGAAAGCCATGTGTTATATGCAGATGTTGAAACCTCACTCATTCGATTCGAGTCTTGAGATGTTGCTCTGGTAACAGAGATTGGTGAGGCTATAAAATACATCCCCGAGAAGCTAGGGAAAAAAAAAATCACAAAATTCCACGAAAATGATTTGCCCATAAGCTTAAAGCGATGGAGAGATACGTAACAGTAGGGTCAACGAAGTTTGTTTGTTCAACTATTCATGGCACCTCCACTAATTGGCCATTATAACACAAACCCGCTATCATACCATCCAGCCGAGGAAAGAAAGTAGCTTATTGTTCTCCCAAACTTCCGGCCTGTGAGGACAGACACAAGGACTGTAGAAAGACAAAAAAAAATGGAACAAATATACGAAGATGAAGAAAAAAAAATAGAAGATGTGTTGAAAGGCGGTTGCCATTTAACTGGTTCTCAACCTTTCATTACGAGACTAACAAATCAGTGAGGTTGTATATCACTAATTATGATTGGATCTCGTCTCTACCACATAGTTTTAGTACCACATCTGTTAGCCAGTTAAATATATTCAGTTTGGGCCTAAATAAGTTTTCATTTTAACCCCGAATACCCAACAAAATCTACTTGAAATACTTCAATAGTAGCACTCTAGCAGAAACAGAAGACGTATACTTGAATAGATGAGATACACTGTTTACAGAAACTGAAGACGTATACTTGAACAGATGAGATACACTGTTTACAGAAACTGAAGACGTATACTTCAATATGTAAGATACATTGTTTACAGAAACTGAAGACGTATATCTCAACAGATAAGATACACTGTTTACAGAAACTGAAGACGTATACTTCAATATGTAAGATACACTGTTTACAGAAACTGAAGACGTATACTTGAACAGATAAGATACACTGGTTACAGAAACAGAAGACGTACACTTGAACAGATGAGATACACTGGTTACAGAAACAGAAGACGTATACTTGAACAGATGAGATACACTGGTTACAGAAACAGAAGAAGTATACTTGAACAGATGAGATACACTGTTTACAGAAACAGAAGACGTATACTTGAACACATAAGATACACTGTTTACAGAAACTGAAGACGTATACTTGAACAGATGAGATACACTGTTTACAGAAACAGAAGACGTATACTTGAACAGATGAGATACACTGTTTACAGAAACAGAAGACGTATACTTCAATACGTAATATACACTGTTTACAGAAACTGAAGACGTATACTTCAACAGATGAGATACACTGTTTACAGAAACAGAAGACGTATACTTCAACAGATAAGATAAACTGTTTACAGAAACTGAAGACGTATACTTCAACATGTAAGATACACTGTTTACAGAAACTGAAGACGTATATTTCAACAGATGAGATACACTGTTTACAGAAACAGAAGACGTATACTTCAACATGTAAGATACACTGTTTACAGAAACTGAAGACGTATACTTCAACAGATGAGATACACTGTTTACAGAAACAGAAGACGTATACTTCAACAGATAAGATAAACTGTTTACAGAAACTGAAGACGTATACTTCAACATGTAAGATACACTGTTTACAGAAACAGAAGACGTATACTTCAACAGATAAGATAAACTGGTTACAGAAACAGAGGACGTATACTTCAATATGTAAGACAAACTGGTTACAGAAACAGAGGACGTATACTTCAATATGTAAGATAAACTGTTTACACAAATATATGAACCAATACCCTCCACAGACAAGTCAAAGTGGTGTTTATGTGTATTGAAAGATAAATAATAGCTATTGCCGTACAAACTAGCGTTCATTAATATCAGGTAATATTCTACTTGTACATCCAGAATCGAACAACGTTATAATATCGGTGTACATCTAATACATCGTTCATTAATATCAGGTAATATTCTACTTGTACATCTAATACATCGTTCATTAATATCAGGTAATATTCTACTTGTACATCTAGAATCGAACAACGTTATAATATCGGTGTACATCTAATACATCGTTCATTAATATCAGGTAATATTCTACTTGTACATCTAATACATCGTTCATTAATATCAGGTAATA